CATATACTCTTTTCTCCGTTATCACCAGGCTATGAGTCACGTAATTGTAAAATGGGAAATCTACGACGGAAAAGTGACGAATCGAAAATATCGTGAGCGCGTATTATGATGTATGCATAGGCATACGTGGACTGGAGCGATAGAGGAAAGAGAAAGGGAAGAGCAAAGACGAGCGATTAAAAAGGAGGATAGGCAGGGTCAGACCCTCAGATGTGCGACGATTCCTAAACGAATAGGTGTGTATGTGAGCTGATCTTTGTAATTATAAATTGTGAATACAAGTGAATAATATTATTATTTTTTTTAATTTTGTGCATGTTATAAGTTATAAATAAATATAAACAAACAACACCAACCTGATAACATTAAATCTAAATACCAAAATGATTAATTTACTATGTTTTTGTTATTTCTTACTCCCGTTTTTAGGTATTCGGCCGAATAGTGATTAAATATTCGGTATTCGGTCGAATAGCGAAAAATAGGCCGAATACCGAATAGTAACCGAATATTCGTTACATCACTAGTAGAAAGGTATCCCCGGCCAGATTCTCACATGTTCCACACACAGTTTTTTTAGATTTTAAAATTTTAAATTAATCATTTTATTCAAGAAAGGTTATCATCAAGTTAATTCTCCATTATAATGAAAAATTTTCTGATTTTTTAAAATATTTTTTAGATTACTTAAATTAAAAATCTTTTTAAATACTAAGAATTTATTCAGATAAAATTCAATAATGATTTTAATCATTTTTTTTTTCTATTAGATATCCGATAAATAGAATAATGAAAAAAAATTCTCATACATTTGACCCTAATCTATACTAATATAATAAAGAGATAATGTTTGTATGTTAGTTTGTATGCAGCAGGTAATCTCCAAAACTACTCATCCGATTTCAAAAATTCTTTCACCAATATTTAGAATGGAACCTCAGGGTGGACATAGGCTGTCGAATACATGTCGAAATTACCCCATTGGGGGGNTTAATAAAAGAATTAAGAATTTTGAGAATCAAATTTCTCAATTTTATAATTTAGGAATTCGATTCACAAAATTCCGAAACCGTGCATTAATAAAAGAATTAAGTAAGAATTAAGAATTAATAAAAGAATTAATAAAAGAATTAAGAATTTTGAGAATCAAATTTCTCAATTTTATAATTTAGGAATTCGATTCACAAAATTCCGAAACCGTGCATTAATAAAAGAATTAAGTAAGAATTAAGAATTAATAAAAGAATTAATAAAAGAATTAAGAATTTTGAGAATCAAATTTCTCAATTTTATAATTTAGGAATTCGATTCACAAAATTCCGAAACCGTGCATTAATAAAAGAATTAAGTAAGAATTAAGAATTAATAAAAGAATTAATAAAAGAATTAAGAATTTTGAGAATCAAATTTCTCAATTTTATAATTTAGGAATTCGATTCACAAAATTCCGAAACCGTGCATTAATAAAAGAATTAAGTAAGAATTAAGAATTAATAAAAGAATTAATAAAAGAATTAAGAATTTTGAGAATCAAATTTCTCAATTTTATAATTTAGGAATTCGATTCACAAAATTCCGAAACCGTGCATTAATAAAAGAATTAAGTAAGAATTAAGAATTAATAAAAGAATTAATAAAAGAATTAAGAATTTTGAGAATCAAATTTCTCAATTTTATAATTTAGGAATTCGATTCACAAAATTCCGAAACCGTGCATTAATAAAAGAATTAAGTAAGAATTAAGAATTAATAAAAGAATTAATAAAAGAATTAAGAATTTTGAGAATCAAATTTCTCAATTTTATAATTTAGGAATTCGATTCACAAAATTCCGAAACCGTGCATTAATAAAAGAATTAAGTAAGAATTAAGAATTAATAAAAGAATTAATAAAAGAATTAAGAATTTTGAGAATCAAATTTCTCAATTTTATAATTTAGGAATTCGATTCACAAAATTCCGAAACCGTGCATTAATAAAAGAATTAAGTAAGAATTAAGAATTAATAAAAGAATTAATAAAAGAATTAAGAATTTTGAGAATCAAATTTCTCAATTTTATAATTTAGGAATTCGATTCACAAAATTCCGAAACCGTGCATTAATAAAAGAATTAAGTAAGAATTAAGAATTAATAAAAGAATTAATAAAAGAATTAAGAATTTTGAGAATCAAATTTCTCAATTTTATAATTTAGGAATTCGATTCACAAAATTCCGAAACCGTGCATTAATAAAAGAATTAAGTATGTTTGCAATGCAAAAGAAAAAAATTGGTTCGATCTGCTCCCATTTCGAGAATTTTTGAAAAAGGATTTTCCCATGGAAAATGCATTAAACTTTTAGCGCTATCTGCTGAGTTGTGTAACCAGAGGTTAAATCAGCCTTAATAATAAGATTTCTTTTTTATAGAGGAATTCGTCATATATTAGTTTTGAATTATGTGCTCTTGTTAACTATTCATTGTTTTTTTTAAGTATATAATACATTTAGCAAATTTACTGTTTTATATTTATTACTTTTTAGTATCATCATAGAAATACATTATAACCGTAAATTTTTTAAAAACGTATTTTACTGTCACAGTTTTAGGCGAGGAAAAAATAACAATTCCAGATTTTTGAAAGGAGAAAAAGGATAAATTTATTTAATTTGATGGGGAAAATACTCAAAAAGGTTGAAATTAACAACAAAATGTGAAATCCTTCCTAAAAAACGAGATCGTCCAAGTAGAATAATACCTGCCGAACGGTTAAGGTGGAAGACTACCGTTTTGGGAACCCAGGATCAAATCCAAACGGGCAAAGAAACCTCAGGAATTTTTCGGAGGGTTGCTCATCGCATTTGTCAGGCCCCATCCCTTACCACCAGGCTGCTCCAATGTAGGTCTGACCAAACCATAATGGGCTTGACATAAAAACGCCCTCTTGGTATCCACAGAGCGGAGAAAGTTAAAACAAAATAAAAACTATATATACGCATTAAAAAGTCCATTATATTTGATTGTATCATGTATGACGTGAGTTATTCCAGTGTGTATTATTCATTTTCGCTTAATTTTCAGTATTCAATAAAGCCATTTAAAGCTTTAAGCTTGATGCTAACATTGGTTGATAAATCAGCACGTAGAATGCTATAAGCTTGTTTTTGAACAATTAAAACATTTTATTGTGATACTTCTTTACACTAGTAATAGGATAGCACAGTTGATACAAAAATCTTAAAAGGTGGATAAAAGTCAGTTTGGAATGACGCGCCTCGTATTTAGCATAATTAAAAACAAATATTTCAACATTGACTACTAAAAAGCAATTTTTGGGACACCAATGGTCGAAACGATATGTAAGAATTTTTGTATATCTGTCTAAAGCTTTTGGAAATGAAATTTTTCATCGGTTGGCTCAATTAAAATTGAAAATAATGTCACAGAGACAATACGAAATTCTCTTGAAAAAAAAGGAGGAAGAAGAAGAGAGATGTTTCAAAATTGTTAATTTTTTTTAACGTAAATTGACGTCGTTTCACAATTTTTTGTTTATTTTAATGATAAAATAAATATAAAAATAACAACTTCTCAATAACTAATAAATTACAAAATGCAGGCAACAGAAAAACTACAAATTATTTTTGCTAAGAGCGCTGTTTCTGAATTGTTCACTGTAAGAATTGAGTCCAAAATTAATCGAATTTAGGAGAATTTTACTGAAGTGGATAACCTCTACCTAGCGACAATACTGAAGTTTTAAGCATGATGACACAATATTCGTTATACTGAATTATTGATTTCACTGAAACGAGATTTGTTTTTTACGATACCGGCAACTGTTCGTTATTCCGAAAATTTCCCTATTACAGAATTTGTTATATCGAAATTTGACTGTATAGCTCTTATTATTTGAAGTGCTTTGATTTAACACTATACTCGATTTATTGCTAATTTCAGAGGCTAAACGGTGACTATAGATTGAAGTTTGATTTACCTGAAGTTCATATATAGTTAATCGGGTCCTCCTGCTCCTGAGGTTTCCATATCTGGACACTACTTTCATCTATCTAATATCGTTCTCTAGATTAAGGAGAGACAGACAGACAGACTGACAGACGGAAGCCAGTGAGAATTTATAGGTCTGCAATTTGAAAATTACAGCCCAATAATTTTTAAAACATTTTTTTATTGTTTATAGTATAATTTTAAGATGCTTTTTTATATTAATATATTGTAACTTTTTTAATTGAACAAAAAATCATTATCTATCAAAACAATTAGGTTAATTATTCAAGTAAATTTTCTCATTGAAATTACTCGAAATTTGAAATTTTTCATATCAGAATAAAGAGCGATTGTTCTAAAAATAATTATGGCCAAAAATTGGACAACTCCCAAATATGAACATACAAAATAATTTTATATTGACCACACACATTCGCATATTATTAAAATATGTAAGAAAGGTATGCTTTTATAGTTTTGTGAACGGATACTCAACAAGCAAAAAAGTAGTTTTAGAAAAAAAATATAAATCAGGATTCGTCTGACAACTATTGTAATTACGTTAATGTATAAAAATTTATTGGCAAATATAAGTAATATCTGACGAATCAAATTAAGTGTTTTTGATGTCGTAAGCTTAAAAATAGGCATCAAAATTGCCAAACTGTGTTCATATGACATCCGGTAAACTGTCAACAGAATTTTAGTAGAAGGTTTATGAACTAAACTTCTGTGTTGATGTGGTCGTCAAATTAGATAAATGCTTTTGATTTATCTTGGGATATAAAGGAAGATACTATTATCCCTGAAATTTAATTATTTCTGTATATATGTTATTGACATTTTCAGCAAGTAAAAGTGTTAACTGTTAGCACCAATATAAAGTGTAAATGTATCTGAGAAATTTATCAAATGAACAACAATAAAATTACAAATCTTTAGATCCACCATTGCCCATACTGTATATGTTATATATTCATTCTGTTAAATAATGATAAATTTAATACTTACGACTCGGCTACCTTTGATATTTTTACACTTGTTCTTTCCAGACGAGTTTTCAAGGCCTCCATCTAAATTGCAACATATAGAAAAATTAGAATTTAGTATTATTATAATATCAATAAAAAATTTTTATAGCTAATGTTAATGGTCGACAGACCAATGGCTATTAAAAATAACTGAATTCTTGCGCTTTAACTATAAACGAATTTCTGATTAATATTGATGTAATGGTCACCATACGTTATAAAATATTGGTACATTACACCTACGATGCATTGTCTGCAAAGTTACACTATTGTTTTTTTCCTGTTTAAAATTGCTTCCGAATTAATTATTAAAATAATTTCATTGTTATATACCAGTATATCATTCAGTATTTGTTTAATAAAATATATTCTACTCATTTTACTATTTACATTAATTTAGAATCAGTATTTTAATTTTATTGAAATGAACATACATAACTTATGGTCTTCAGGAAATAAAAGTTATTTACTGATCATTTTGTAAAATCATCATAATTTGATATTTAACTAATATTCATATTATTTATATATGTTACTGTGAAAGACCGAAATTAGAGAATGTCGATATTCTCCGGTGAATGTCGACACATACAAAATAAGTCGGTGAAAGACCGAATATTTGGTTATATTATTATACATTCGAACAATCGCCGTGTATGTCGACAAGCACAAATAAGCTTTGGTGGAGGTCGAAACGACACCTGAGAAGCCGATGTCGACGGAGAGGCGACAGTCTGTCGTCAAATTCTTCGCCGTTTCCTTATGCTCAAATTGGTGATACCGTTCGAATACAAGTCGGTGATGTCGACCGTGGCCGTACAGATGCTCGAAATGTGTTGGCGGTTGTTGTTGGAATAAAAGACTCCGACTTTTATAAATTAGCAAACAAAAATGGCACCATCAAGCAGCTTTATACTTGTAATAAGTTCGTAATTTGTAAAGAAAAGTTACTTTCCATAGATGAGCTTTCTTCTCAAGAAATATCGCTGGAGAAGGAGCTGCAGCTAATTCAAAAAGTGGAGGGCAAGGCTATACATGCTGTCATTGCAAAAAGAAGTGTTCCACGAATAAATGCAGTTGTAAAAGCAAGGGACTCTTGTGCAATTCAAAGTGCCATAACTGTTTAAGCTGTTGCAATAAATAAGATTGTGTAACGTTAATCACATAATTTATGTGTAAGTTTATTATTGTATTATTTTCTTTAATGATTTAGAATGTGCTATTTGTTTTAGGTTCAACAGTTTATTTACATGCGCTGTTACTTAAGCTTTCTCTTATTTTGACATATTAAAAAGTTGCATTTTTGTCTTAATGTAATAAAAATATTTTTATTCAACACTCACCATCAGTGCAAGCTGAATGTCGACATTTGCCGATGTAAGTGAGAAATAATGATATTTAGCAAATATTTCGTACATACACGAAACGACTGTGTGAATGCTGACATTCACCGGAGAATGTTGGCATTCGCGAGATATCGGTCATTCACAGTAACATACATAAATATATCTTTTTTATGAGAATCACGTTATACTACTATGGTAGTTTCATTTTACGTAAGAAACTATAAAAGATATGTTTTTAGGTTTAGTCCGTCATACAAGTTTTACCACTGGGATCATTCAAATATGATGTTACCAATTTTAAATTCTTTTTCACTACCTACCTATTCCCTGTCACATTTTGTATTAAAATCAAGCATTTCTGTAAAACAGATCTGCAGTACATTAATTTATTCAAATAACCTCCCAAGGCAAGGCTAATTTTAAAAATAGGCCAATAAATTATTTATTGGCCTATTTTTAAACGAGCATTTATTTGTGACATAGTCACAATGCCAAGCTGCAATTTTAATAATATTTTTAATTAATTTCATTTAAAATATATCCTCTCCACCTTAAATTACCAATAGTATGGTCTTGTCCCTGTACATCATACTTTTCCTGTTACAATAGAGTCGTGCCAGGCATCTAACTCCTTTCGAAAAATTTTTGAATTGAAATAACGGTTTGCATCGGAAGTTCGTATTTAGTTATTCGGGGCCTCCTGCCCCTAAGTTTTCCATATATGGTCTCATCTTTCATCTGTCCGAAATCACAGGAAAGACAGACGGACGAACGAACGAACGGACACAGACGGACGACAGTGGAAATTTATAGGTATAAATTTTTTTCAAATTACAGCCTAATGAAATTCACTTATTTGCCTCAGAAAAGTAGTTTGATGACATTGTATCAAATAATACCTAAAATTAATGTTATATATCGGTATATATTTCAGCGGTATCTTTATCTCTAATCCGTATCTGTAAGATTAAGGTTGTTGCTATTATAACGCACTTTCATATTAAAAGTTTATTAGATCGCTTCCAACAGAGTGTATTTAGTACAGCGCTTCTAAAGTGCAACTGTTTAAATAAGCAAGAACTTGCTGTGTAATTATTGGTTAAAATACTTCTGCATAATGATTTCTGTAAAAAATTATTTCAAATAGGAAAATTTTTGAATATCTTTAGGACATCATTCTGCTAACACCCCCATCCATCCCACCCCCGTCACAATGTCACAAAAGTTTTACATATTCCCCTCCCCAGTGCGGATATCATATTTGAATGACCCATCACAACAGTACACTAATCGCAAGCTACTTTTTAATTTCAAAAAACGAAATTTATTTCACTATGTTAAAGTTAAATATATACTGAAATCTATGAAGAATCCTCAGAGAATCATAAATTCAGTAAATTTTCTAGTTTTTTATTCTGCAAATAATTTCATGCCATTAGTTGTGCCGTATTTACTGCGTTAAAACAGGAGTGTTTTTTTGTTATTATTAAAAATCAAATAAACAAATGAAATAATTAGTGCACAATGCATTGAATTATTTCAATGCATTGTGCATTGAAATAATTCAATGCACAATGCCTATTGAATTAAATACATTTTTAATTAGATTTTGTAACAAAGTTTTATTTCATTGTTAATAATGATATTTAATATATTAAAATAAATTGTGTAGCGTATATCATTGTGATAGCGAGCGTGTGTGTGGAAATCACCCACCATTGAAAACCTGAAAGGCCCATTGTGTTGGGTCGATCGAAAGTTAAGAGGGAGGGGCCGATATATGACGCATCTTGCTCACTTGAGATTCACAGGGATAGTCGCAGATTCTTAAACTGCCATTTTACCATAACAATTATGTATAATATTGGCGTATGTTAAATTTTGGATTGTTGAATAATAGAAATTATTATATAAATCTATCATTTGAAAGGTTATAAAAGTTATACATAATGTGATCAATAAAGATGATTAATTTTTTTCTCATTATACTCGATACGGTTATGCTTTTTGAGTCAGTTATGGATATTTTTTTCGAACCGTGACTATATTGTATATTAGAATTTTTTTTCATATTTTTTATTATTCATTTGATTTGCAAATTGTCTAAATTCTCCGCAATTCGTTATACAAAATTCGAAATGTACAGTTATTTATTAAACAATACTTGTAACAATTAATGAAATTCTAATTAGAAAAGATGCGTTTTAATTATAAGTAGAATTTATTTAACTTGAATAGATTATATTAAATTTATACTACGTATCTAAGTAAAATTAATATCAATTGACTGCAATAAATATTCAACGTGAAACCTCAGCTGATGTATCTGTGATCGTCATTCGTATTTCTGGTCGGACGTTATTCTGAATTAATCTTATTGATCATAGCAATGTAAGAGAAGCGGGCCAGATGGCCAAGTGGTGTTGTCTCTTGCTCACTACCAGAAATCGATTCTTGCTTAGACCTTATATTTCTTCTCTCGTTGTCCGACACTCACTTAGCGCTTATCGAATGAAAAGGTGTGGTTCTTTTTAACAACAAAAATCACTTTTATATAGTTTTTCAGCCAGATAAAAAACAAAGAATTCTTTGTTTTACACTTCTATAAAGTATTAACATTGAAAAAATAATTTATTTGTCATACTTCCGAGAGTGTAAATTGTTTACGAAAAACAGAAAATAATAATATTAAGAACAATATTTTGTCTTTGAAGTTTAACTTATTGCTATTCTGACCCAGAAATTTAATTAATCACTTGTTACTGTATTTTTTATCTAGCATATTTATTATTAATAATATACAAAAAATATGAACTCATAATTCGAATTTATTAATATGAGAATTTACTCGAAATATTAAAGAATAAAAAATTGGATTGTTTTATATTAAAATAAAACAGAATTATATTATTTGTAATTATTTATGTTACAATATTAATGAATTCTATTACTAATTATTAAGATTAAAATAAAGTAAATCCTAATTAGTAAATCCTGATATTATATTTATTCAGTTAATACAATCGAATTGAAATAAATTAATTTATATAATTATTTTAATGTAAATCAATGAAACTTTAAATAGAAAAACTGTTTTTATTACGTCCCTCGGCAAATAATTAAGTGATGACGCTGTTTTGAATTTTAGCCTCTTGAGACCAATAAGTCTGCTCCCATAACTTGTAACGAGATTAAACTAAAGAAAACTATTATAAAGTAGGAATATTAAGATTAACTCTTGGATTTTTTAGTAGAAAACTGTAGCTTATATGTTACCAATTGTTAAAGGATTTTATTACAACAATCAATAGAAACGAAAGCTTTACTTTTAGATTAATATTTTATTTTATTCATCTGAAGTAAATTAATTCACTTGAATCAATTTTAAATCGCCAAAAGTTGAAATTTGGATACCTTCTATACATTTCAACTTATGTTATAAACATTTAAAAAATAATTTTTAACTCGTTTTTCAAATAAATTTTTAAATATTACGAGTAATATTTAATTCAATGTATTCTATACAGTAATAAGAATTAATTATTATTATATACAAATGTTACAATTGCTTCGTAAATAATTCTGAATACATTTTGTTAAAAGTAATTTAATTTGTGTGTGTCCCTTGAGTTTCAAAGATTTTAACATTGTATTATTAAAACTAAGATGATAATGCATATTTGTAAACAAATTAATCGGAGAAAATTTAGAAATAAATGTAATCGGTTTTCTAGAAAATATACACGAACCATTCATATGCATGATTTTGTCTGTGTTATGCAAATATTTAATTAAGAGAATTAATGAAAACGGTACATTTTAAATTTTATAACTTAATGAATGAAACTTTTAATTATTTATTCTTGCACTTTGTTCTCTTCAAATGCCTATTTATGCAGTCAAATTGTTTCGTAAAGGTATCAAAATTACAATTTGTTTTTTTATGTCATGATTTTAATATGGTTTCAATAATTGAAAATGTATAAGAAAAATGAAATTTTCTCCAACCTTTTTCTTATAAATCTAAATTTTCAAATATTCTTCTTACAAAATCTTCAAATATTAACATACTGTATAGACTTAAAAAAATAAGAAATGTAATCTTTATAGACTATTTTCTGAATAACTTAAAGGGTAACTGTTTATTTTAAATTTTCTGTGTTCCTTAGAATAAATTTTTGACTTTAGGAAAAGAATTAAAAATATTTAATTCATAATTATACATTTTAAATTAAAAATAAATAAGATAGCATTCTTTATAAATAATAAAAATAGGTACACTGTATTGTACTAAACCTTACAAAATTAAATTTGGCAAAAATGAAGAATATAAATCAAAGTAGATTATCGAGACAGTTATTTGTTGAATAATTTTGGATCCAATTCTTAAAAATAGAAGTACTTTTGATACTAGAATACTTTTTATAACTGATACAATCAGTAATAACCATGAAAATAAAATTTATGACTATTTCTTGAAATATAATGCCAATTATTGTATTTTTTTTAAATTAAGATTTTTGAATCTAAATGATTATTACACAACAATTTTTTATAATTAATGTATAATTTATATGAAAATTATAATATACCACTGTTGTAATATTAGTTAAATTTCATTGTTTTTAAAAACTTAATATATTTCTAGTTGTATTATTTCAGTTATTTTTAGATTATGAGAAAAATAACTGAAATAATACAACTAGAAATATATTGTTTACCTATAATTTATACATAGTATTTATAAGTACTAAAAACAAATACCTCTTTTTTTAATACTTCAGCTGATGTAGATAGATCAGTCTCCGAAACACTAGGACTTATTCTTCCTCCAGATACAGAGCATTGCATATGCTAGAAATAAAAATTTAAAAATAAATAAAATGTATATTTAAAAAAATTAATGATACTTTCATCAATAAATATTTGAAAGTACAGTTTTCATTTCTATTACATGATTAATGATTTTTAAAATAATAATAATAAGGAAAAAAAAAGAAAATTATGACTACAAGCCATAATTAATTTCAGTTGAGCTACCTTTAAACATTTATTATTTTTTTTCAGGTTTTTTGATCTATTATTTTTCTTGTTATAATTAAATTTATCATTAGAAATTGAATTTTAAAAAAGTCTCTTTTCTCTTTATTCTAATATCTCTTGTAATTTATGGTAAATCAGAGGAAGCAAATGTTATTAAATCTGAAGGGAAACTAACCTTGTAACTTTTAATGGGTTTATTGATTCTGCAGGCCTTTTTAATATCAATTTCGGTAGTATTTACACAACCAGGCTGTCGGAAAATTTAATTATTTAATATAGCATACTATTAAGTATTATCAGCTTTAATTTTCTGTAACATTCTTTTTTAATATAAGAAAAAAAATAAAAATGATTCGAGAGAGTTAAATTATAACTTACAACGGGTCTATGTACATCCCAAAACGCCCTCTCTTGACTATCTAAGACTTTCCTTTCCAATTTATCTCTCTTCTTGTCTACTCTATTATAAAACATTTTAGACATTTTCAGTCTCTATATCCATTATTAAAAAGACAAAAAAAAAACTAAACGAAGCTAATTAAATAAAAGCGAAGGATTAAAAAAGAAAAGAAAATGAGGTGGCGTTGGACTCATCACGGTAAATTTATTTTATTCATCTGAAGTAAATTAATTCACTTGAATCAATTTTAAATCGCCAAAAGTTGAAATTTGGATACCTTCTATACATTTCAACTTATGTTATAAACATTTAAAAAATAATTTTTAACTCGTTTTTCAAATAAATTTTTAAATATTACGAGTAATATTTAATTCAATGTATTCTATACAGTAATAAGAATTAATTATTATTATATACAAATGTTACAATTGCTTCGTAAATANTTAAAAACAATTTTAATGAACTTTTGGAGATAATTTATGTGTTTCTAAAGATAGTCACTAACAGACATTTCTTTCCTGTTAAACACCATTATATAAGATATTAATACGAGTTGCTTAGACGGCCGATGGGGACCCGGGATCACATCCGGACGGGTCGAAAAATCCCAATGAATTTTTCGGGAGGTGGTCCGACCGGATATGTCGACCCCTGTCTTTCAACACTCGGCCGAACCCATAATGGACTTGCTACAAGAGGCCCTCTTAATGTCCACAGGGCGGAAAGAGTTTAAAAAAATTAGAATTGCTTTATTTATGGATAATAATATTTTAAATAAGAATTAACTTATATACTTTTGTTGATTCTTACTTGGCTTGCGCTTCTGCTTGCATGAAAATGAATTCCCATTTTCTTGAAAACATTTTTTGCAATCTTGCTAAATTTTCTGCTTCGTAATCCGCTAATTCTAGTCTTGTTTTATTTTGCATTGTACGTTTACATAAATATACAGCTAAAAAACATAATAATAATAATAATAATAAATGCAAATCCTTCATTTCTACATTTAAATATTTTATCACTTAAACGACCATTGACCCAATAAACAAATAAATTACTTTTCTTGTTCATCCAAATATTTATTTAAATAACATTTTTAAGAAATAAATAATATTTTAATGATTTATAACAAGGTATTTTCTATTTTATAAAAATTTATTTTCTGTTTAGTTGAAATATATGAAACTAATGAGATTTTATATACCATAATCCGTATTTTCTGGTTCCCAGCAATTGGACGGCCAAAAGTAAGGAGTCTATAAAGAAAATATATGTTTATATTATAAAATTATTCTAATTAAAGCTTAAATATATAAATTCTGAAACAGTTTACAAGTAAAACAAAAAATTTTTCTATGAAATATAAAATAAATAAGGAATATTTTAGGAAAATTAAAATGCGGAATATGTATTAAAGATATTATATATTTATATTATTTTATTAATAAATTAAAAAGTTTTAAAATGTATAAATTTTAGCCAAGTAGAAAATATAAACTTTAAAATTATTACTAAAATATTTCTGTTCGAAAGAAGTTATATATAATTACATTTTCTCAGCTTTATTTTTGCATCACGACTATGAAAAGTTGTATTTTACTCTACTCTTACTACTATTATTACTCTACTATTTCCTATTTATGTATTCTGTAAAATCAATTTAAAGTTTTGATTTAGTCACGAATTTCCTTTATAAACTATGAAGAATTTCACGAAAATTACAAAAGATAAAGATACAACTTATAAATAAATAAACGAAAACGAATTTACAGAATGGAGAATTAAATATATATATATAATATTCTTTCTTTCTTATAAATAAAAATTAAATTTGCAATAAATTACTTTCCGGAATTCAAATTATTTATTTCATTCAGCAAGAGAAATAAAATATTGAAGTTTTTATTTCGTTAAAACATTCATTCTTAAGAATTAAAGTAAAATGATTATACTGTATAAATATTGATACTTAAATTCTTAATTAGTTATTTTTAAATATTTTAAAAATATATAATTTAAATTTATAATTTATTATAATTATTGCTCATGATAGCTTATAATTTATTGGTACTTTTTCTTTTATTAAATTTTAGATGAGAAAAAAATGATTTACTTTTATTTAATTTTTCATCTAGTGAAGTTTATATAATAAATTCTTCAATATTCCACATTTTTATGAGAATGGTTTAAGCCATTGTTATTCAGACAATATCATTTTAATGATTTGGTAAATACATTAATTCCATAGCTTTCTGGTTATTCGAGAGGATGAAATATAAAATAAAAGAAGCAAATGGTTAGATCGTAACACTTAACTTTAGTGCTATAGATCTATGTCGGATTAATTTTGAAACTATAGGATTTAGTAAGAAAACTTTGCTGTTTTCCAACTAAAGAAATTCTATAGATTGCATACAAGTAAACCATTGGTTTTACTATTAGTTCCTGGAAAGTCATTAAGCGAGCCATCGTAAATAGAGCTTTAATTTTCCATAGTATCAGTGCCAGAAATTAGATCACGTTCCCGGAATACAGTTTTAACTATAATATAATACATATATGACTAACAAAAAAAGGCAGTTAAATACAACATACATGTATAACAGTCGTAAAAACTGGGGTTATAAAGTGTTTACAGAATTTTATATAAATTTATAAAAATTTGGCATTAAAAGTATGCGTGTAAAATATTACCTGNTTCTTCAAATAAAATATTCCACATTTTTATGAGAATGGTTTAAGCCATTGTTATTCAGACAATATCATTTTAATGATTTGGTAAATACATTAATTCCATAGCTTTCTGGTTATTCGAGAGGATGAAATATAAAATAAAAGAAGCAAATGGTTAGATCGTAACACTTAACTTTAGTGCTATAGATCTATGTCGGATTAATTTTGAAACTATAGGATTTAGTAAGAAAACTTTGCTGTTTTCCAACTAAAGAAATTCTATAGATTGCATACAAGTAAACCATTGGTTTTACTATTAGTTCCTGGAAAGTCATTAAGCGAGCCATCGTAAATAGAGCTTTAATTTTCCATAGTATCAGTGCCAGAAATTAGATCACGTTCCCGGAATACAGTTTTAACTATAATATAATACATATATGACTAACAAAAAAAGGCAGTTAAATACAACATACATGTATAACAGTCGTAAAAACTGGGGTTATAAAGTGTTTACAGAATTTTATATAAATTTATAAAAATTTGGCATTAAAAGTATGCGTGTAAAATATTACCTGAAATTATTTTGTTTTTATATAAACAGAATCATTAATTAAACGTTAATAAATTAATTACTTTAGTTTTTAGGCCAAATGAGAATTTAATAGAGGTTAATGAATTATTTGACTTATAAAGCACACTTTGTTATTTATTATAAGTTTGTTTGGATACCTGTCAGCTTATCTAAATATCCTTCTAAAACTCGAGAGGTCGTGTAATAAATCTTCTAACTCTGTGTACACGTTTATGAAAATATATAAAGTAAAATATATGTATAATAATGTTAATTATAGGTATACGATATGTTCTATTGTCGGTCTATTGTCATAAAAATTCCTTTAATTATGTTGAATCGCGCTAAGGTAAACGTGTAAACGTGTTCCTTTATATTAAAAAGTCATTCTAGACAGGAACACTTCAGGCAAGGATTGACTTCTACGAACTTTTTTTTTTTTTGGTATTTAATCAATTTGCTTTAAAATCTAGCAGGAATAAAATCCCCGAGGTTTGATAAATGCTGATTTCTAAGTATTATAAATAATGAGATAAAAATATAAATTCTTATATATACAGTTTCATTCGACTTTTCTCCATTTCTAAATGTAAATAATCAATAAAAAGTAAATCTTTCGATTTAAATTGAATCTAACGGAAAGAGTTATTGATTTATTTAAATGCGATCTTGCTCAAAAATAAATAAATAAANGTCATCTTCAGTCGGCATTGAGTAACCACTATGGTTATATTTAAATAGTTCTGGAAGCAAAGATCAGGCCGTGTTCAGTAACGCATAACACCTAAGTTAGAATTCTGAGTGACTTAGTGGGTGGAGCTAAGAATACATAAAAGAAGCTAGTGGTGGAAGAAGTCAAGCAGTAGTTAGAAACGAGTTCAGCATTGCAGCATAACTAGACTTAGCAAGAATTCTGCGTTACTAAACACGGCCCAGATAGAAGTCTTGGCTGATGTAACTGGCAACAAGACCACACAATATGTAAGAGTTGCATATTCAAGTTCCACTTCAGGCCAATTCTTTACTCCAGGACCTTTTGAATTAATTATGAAAATATTAATTTAATTATAATTATTAAATTTATCAAGAGATGTCATCTAATACCTATCTCTAAGTCAAGTTACTTAACTTTTAATTATTAATAATAGCATTAATATAGCCTGATATAATCAAGCAATCATTTCGCTTTAGACTAACTTTTTCTTCAATAATAATAAATCACAAATATCTTCATTTTAATTTAGATTTACGAAGCATCTTAAAAAATTTAGTGTAATCCAATCTGATAGCATTGAAATATACAATCCCACACCATAATTAAGCAATTTGTTAGTAAAGTACTCATAGAATATGTTCAATAAAATCTGTAAATAGTCTAATAAATTTGAGTAAAAAAAAGCTGGCAACATTGTTGAACTTTCCCAGCATTATTTGTTTTCATTCCTAATAACTGTTACAATTACCTTTAGATATTTCAGTTTAATTTCAATGAAAATTATCATTAACAAAACAAATTCAAAGAATTTCATGTAAAAAAAAAACAAAAAAATGTATTTTTACCCCTGACCTAGTTGGATGTTGGGTAAATTCCAATATCAATTTCTTAAAACTATATTAACATATTGAAAAGTGAGAATTCAATTGATTCATTCTATCAAAAGTAATAAACATCAAATAATATTAATATTGGGAAATCAGGTGATTTTAGAAAATTTTTTTTAAGCAAATATATTTAATTTTTTGGTAAAATAAAAATCTGTACAAGAAAAAAACAATTTCATAACTTGGAAGCTTTGAGAGATATTAAGGGGTGGGGCCATCTCCCCTGAATCAATGGTCTGTTTTTTGTGAAAATTTCTAAAAGTATTTCCCCATAATACATAAACTTCCCTGCAAAATTTCATAAATTCGACAAAAGGAATTATTAAGCATCAAAATGGGCAAAAAAATATCATGCTCCTCATATATACAGGACAAAAGCCCCTAGATTCTTTTGCATTTTGTCATTCCAAGATCAAAGTACAAAAATGTAAAAATCTTGGGGAGTCATTTTTTGATTGATCATCATACTTTCCCTCTGTTATGTAATAGTGGGAAAGTAAAATAAGAAAAATCTAAACTTAAATCTAAATCATCAACTACTAAGAATAACTTCAAAAATAAATAAATATATATATATATATTTAATTTTTTTTCCTTTGCTTCAATTTCGTAATCTTGTATATATTTATGAATTTATATGATATTACGTCTAATATATTTATGAATTTATATATTTATACATATATATGTTTTATTTGTATCCGTGATCATCTTAAGAATGTCGATGCATCAGTTAATTACAAAGACAATGGATGATTCCAAATCTGAACTTTATTGTCTACATAAAGGTATCGGTATCTATATGAATGTTATCAGTTTCATACTAGGAAGATGATAAATCATCATCAATCATTCCACATTGACAACGATAATTCTCTATATATGTGCGCGCTGCTGTTAAATGCCGATTGCAAAAAAAAAATTATTAAATATTTCTAATCAAAAATACCCTAAGAACTCCAGTTGGTTTCCTAACAATTTAATTTAACGTGTATTTTAAAAAAAGTTGAAGAAGAAGCGCGACATTTGTTTATTCTCACGATTATTTTAATCGCCGCGACATAATAATATCATATAAATGTGAATTTAAGAATTTTTTTAATAATTAAATTTTTTAAAGGACGTTAAATTTTATCAATATTTATTCAAATCTCTGAAAGTGGATTTAAAATTATATTTACTAGAATTTAATAGTCTGGTAACTAATGGCAAAACGCCAAATGTTTTGTGTTTTAATAACATTGAACCCAATTTACCCGACTGTTTTTGCTAATGTAGATCGTTAAAAATTAAAAAAAATTTTTTTTAAATTATGGCATTCCTTAAATGCCGAAAGTACAGTAATAGTAATGGAAAAAAATAATATTTTAAATTTTATTAGAAAATCGATATCGAAATTAATTACAAATAAATTTAAAAAAAAAAAAAAGTAAAATTAATGGCATTATACCTGAAACCTATAAAAAGTTCCATCAGCCTTAACCGTCAAAACGTGGTCTTCGATAGGAAAAAAATAACCGTGTGCCGCCATTAAATGAGCCAAATGAAGGGCTTCAACTAAACAAAATACAAATAAAATTAATTAAATATTATTTTTGCTATTTAAAATAAAATTGTAATAATAATAATAATAATTCGGTTTACAAATTTATTAAATTTACCAAATGTTTATAAATACTGTATATATATTTTTTTATTTCTACCTTGATCATCGATGTCTATGTTCCTCATCATCCAAAGAATTAAATCAGAACCTGGAAAATAATATTCTTAAAACTGTAAAAATTTAATCCGATTTCCTTAAAATTCTATTTATGAATTATTTATGAGTATTAGTTTATTATTTTAAGATGGAAAAGAAATAAAAGAATCTTAGTCGCCAAAATAAATATTTCGTCTGCAGTCTTTCTAGGCGATATCTTGCGGTTAGAAGTAGAAAATATTTTTAAACGTTAATAATATATTATTTCAAGTAATAAGTTCTTGTGTAATAAATGATGACAAATTTTGTTTTATAATTAATACAATTTCGGATGACCGAAATTTCCGTTATAAGAATTTAATTTCAAGTCTTGTGCCATAGAGATCGGAAGAATTGACTGAAATTTTTTAAACATGTGAATTAAAAAAAATTAATAATTTCATTAATAATTTGACTATTTTGAAATAATTTATGATAATATAATAGAATTTTAAATTTATATAAAAAATAAATGCTGAAACTAAAATTTTTATGTTTTTTATATAGTAAAACAACAAAAGATTTAATGCCGATGCTTGTATTTATTTAATTAAGCGAACCTCTAAAACAAATAGATCCTTAAGTTTATAATTTCCTTCCTACAAATTGTTTATATGAAAAATATACATTCAGTACCGGGAAAAAATTTATTTTATATTCAGTCAACAAGTAGAAAATCGCACAGAACTTCGCCGGAAAAATCTTCGAATGCGATTATATTTTATATCCGTTTGACATTTCTATTCCCTATCTGAGTTATGACTGTACATTAGATATCTCATAAGTTTTTCGTTTTTTTTTTATTATAACTAAAAATAGTTTATGTAATATGATATCCAGTAAGCCAACTTCATTTGTAGCCACGTTGTTTTCTTTTTATTTGGTATTTCTTTAGGTTTATAGGTCTGTATGCACTGTATTTAGAAATTAATGAAATTAAGAAATCGACCCATTTCTAAAATCAAAAAATTAACTGTCTAATAATAAATAAGAGCAAAAACTAACATTGATATATAATTATTCGCGAGTTAAAGAAGATATACGGCAGGATAAATCTTTGCGATTCCTTTCCGACTTACTGATTGTTCCTATTTTGTTCTTCTTAAGCGGTTTAGATTCTACTCGATCAAATCTTAACTTGTAATCCTCGCTTAATTAGGAAGTATCTTTCTCTTTTCTTTCTCTATCATTGAATTTTTCTTCTCAAAGTTAAAATTACTGATTAGAAAAAATCAGATTTTACTGTCGATTATATTTTATGAGACTGTTATGCAACAGGTGTTCTCATTTCTGAGGTCTGCTCGAATGATAGATAGTTCTTCATAACTAGAGGAAGTGGTGCTAATAACTTCCCAACATATTCAATCGATAGTGTACCACCCTTATATTGGGTCATGCCAAGGTTATTATCGATATAGAACGATAGAATTTCGAATCATAGCCAGAATTCGGCTTTCTACATTCAATTATACCGAAAAGCTGCTATACTTTACTATTTAAGGCGCCAAATAAAGCAGCTGCCATAGTTTCTTAGTAGTATAAAATACAGAATGTAGCCAAAACTAATTTATACGCATCACCGAATTATTATAGACGAGAATGGTTTTGCAAAATTGATTAGTACGGTTTACAAATCAGATTAGTATCGACGCGGTCAAATGAATTATTTAGTGGCTAGTGAAGGTTTGAATAACATTTATTTTGCTATGCCAAAAGAATTAATACTTCTTTATCGAATTAACCGATCTGATGACCTTTCGGTGATAAGGCGAATGGCGTGTTATCGTGTTTTATCATTTAATCAGAGCGATAGGCGAAACGGATGTTACGCAACATTAAGTAACATAGACGAGTGACAATGCGACATCCTGGAATCTTCAAAGTTTTGCGTGCCGTCTCCAAAGGCTAAGTTATTCCGAGAGTGGTCCATTCTTAAATGTGAGGGTGGTCTAGATCGATATTAACCCATCTCGTTCCTGAGAATTTTTTGTTAAGAAGCCAGCATCGAATACAGTTTGTTGTTAGATGCGGCATTTTGAAGCAAGCGTTGTATCTGTTAAAAATTTACAATAATATAAAAAATGTAATTAAATATAAATCATAAAAGATTATTAATCGTGATTAAATTACGTAAACTTTTTTAAAAACAACAAATTTCGTTGGAGTATTTTTTTAGATATTTTCAGAGATTTACTTAAATCTCTTTTGAAAACTCAAAGACGACAAAAGAACAGGGAATACGATATGGTGTAATTCTATCGTCTTTTCTATTCTTTTTCTGTGGAGGAAAATTAAATAAAATCGAAGGAATTTGCTTCTTTCAAGAAATTGAAAAATTATTTCGTTAGGCCTATAATTTTTTTGAAATAAATTAAAATACTTCATGAATACTTAAATTTAGCAACGAAAATAGAATATATAATATAACACGACTGCACAACATTAATTAATACTACTTTCTGATATATTTACAAACGAAAACAGATCATATATCACAGTAAAAGTTTTCTTAAATTTAACAATATCGATTTACTCGAAAAAAAAAGAATAAAGAAAAAAGAAAGAAAATGAGAATTCAACAAAACAAATAAAATATTTCGAGATCAAAAGAATTCAGCTCTTTTGATTCCAACAGCTCTATTAGTTTGACATTTGCTTTGTAAATAAAAGGAACACTAACTATGTTCTTCAATACCTTATGCAATGCGACGTCGACAAGAAACTTTCAAAACATTATTGAAACGTTTCCCTATCTCATAATTAAAATATATTTTCTTTAAAATCCATTATTATATATTTATTTCTCAGTTAAACAATATTTTTATAAGCTCAGCAATTTAATTGGGTCAATCGATATATCGGTTACAAATTTACAGATCCTAAAGGTTTAATATAATTAATATTAAGAAAATACTCGAGATTATTATAAAATAACTATTATACAATTAAATGCCCAAAAATAATCTAATAATATATTATTTATGCTATTTCTATTCAGAGATCTCAACCAGTAGACTGATATCCTCGGGGATTAGGAATTTTGTTTTTCGGATAATGTCACGTATGTTTTGGTATGATGAGAAACTGTTATTAACTAAAAAAGCTTGGGAAGAACTGCACTAGTCAATTCATTCGGAGAGACATGTTTATTGTTAGAAAAGCACGTTTTCAAGAAGGGAGTAGAAAGAAAAGTAGTTAGTATAATAAGACATGAATCAATAGAATAGCTTTATTGAGCCTATACACAGTTATACAGAAATAGTTATTTTACATAAATTATTTTATTGAATACAAGCGAACTCCATGACCAGTTACGAGTAAAGAAATTTTTAAATTTTTCATTGGTTATTTTAATTATTAATCTGACACACTGGGAAATATGAAATGGGTGGAGTGGGTTTAATCAATGACTGTAATCTTTCTATTCATTCGGTTGCTGAAAATACTTTTGTTCCCGTGGGATTATATAATCTGTAGTTTAACAATTCAAATGACATAATTACTTTCCTGCACTAAGAGTGATATCAATTCAATCAGCTAATTAAGTTTTATCAATTTTGACAATCGTGCGTACCTAACGCGTTGCGCGTTATATTTCAAACGTGTTTGAAAAAGTACTTACCTGTAAATACACTTGGAATTTTGGACATGAAACTTTTTACAGTTCTGACAGGAACACCTGCTTGTTCTTCCTGCATTTTTTCGATTATTTTCTCCATCTATAAAGTTTTATCGATAATTATTTCTTAAACAAACTAACAATTTATGATGAATATCAAAATTTTATTTTCTATTTAAATATCATAAAATATTTAAATGTAACTGACTAATTTTCATTCAAATTCTGTATAAAAATTACATACTAAAATTGTTTTCTAAATATTTTATCGCGTTACTATTAAAAACAATTTTAATGAACTTTTGGAGATAATTTATGTGTTTCTAAAGATAGTCACTAACAGACATTTCTTTCCTGTTAAACACCATTATATATAAACTACTTTTTTTCATAACGAAAACAAGGTACAACGAGCAATTATTTATTGTGACATGGTCACAATGCCGGTTGCAATTTTTAATCCCATATTTTTAATTTATTTAATTTAAAATGTATGCTATCCACCTCAAATTAGTACTGTAATGCCTTGCCCCTGTATATCATACTTTTCTGTTAGTAATAAAGTCGTGCCGGTCATTAAGTCCTTTCGGAGGAAAAGTTTACAGTTTTCTAAGTATTATACAGTTAATCGGTTCCTCCTGCCCCCCAAGCCTTCCATACTTAGTCTCGACTTTCATCTACCTAACTCCATTCTCGAGATTACAGACTGACGACAGTAAACACTTTCCATGAGAGAGAAATCTAATGGAATATTCAGGTTATTGCTTCTTTTAAATATTAATTTTGGTCAACTTCTCAATGTATTTTATCATATAAAAACAATTCGTTGCCCAGTTACAACAATTCTTTTGATTGAAAAAGCATCTCTCGGACTATTTTCTGCGGTATAGTAAATCTTCTTTGATAAAGAGAAAAACTTTCTATCTTTTCCCATAAATTGCCCTATTGGATAAGACAAGCAGTCAAGAACAGAGCTTACTGTCTCGAAGATTTACCTGTAACTGGGTTTTCCTTGCAGTTTTGATCTCTCAAATGCAGTGATACATATACTCTAGAGAAAGAAACGGTTGCTTAGGGACTTTCTTCCCTATGACAATTTTTTTAAACGTATTTTCCATTTTTATCGCTTGTTAAATATATTAAAAAGTTTTAATAAGTGAAAATATTGGCTAACGTGAAATCTTGTTCCGATAGAAAATAGCGTGCACGTCGCGAGCAATTCAGATTTAATTAATTTCTATTAATTTAATGAATCGAGATCTATCCCAATGATACAAAAGAGTTAATTTGGACTAACTAATCGTAATTTTTTTTCTATTTATATAAAAATTTACTTTAATAGTCATTACAACAGCTTTAAATTCAATTTTATTTGAACTAATTTAATTATTTCTAAATAAATGTATTTTTTTCTGTATTCATTCTTGAATCTTCTTCGATTGTTCGAGTTAACCAATGCACGGATTTTAACGAAGATACGGTGTTTGCTACCGTTACTCTTCGTAAATAGAATCATTTGTTTTCATTTTGAAAATAAATAAAAAAACAATCAAAAAGTGATAGAAAAAGTGGAAAATTTGAAAAACTTTGCATTGTAACTTTCCAGCGATTTTCTTTTTTCTATATATCAATGGCAAGTTCCATTAGGTTGAGGTAAATGGCAGCATTTTCAATCGAACGTTGCTATTGCAAAATGTCATCTGTTAAAAGGTCAATCATTGGATGCCGATCAGTAAGAAAAAAAGTAAAGATATATATTATAGAATCAAACATTTATAAGTTATTTAAATACAAAATGGTTGCTCGCTGCTCGTTTCTCATTATAGTAATATACTGTATTTTTATAATAACAAATAAATAATTCATCATTAATATTTATTACATTAAATTATTTTTTTAAACTTTTTTTCCAGTTTTTATATAATAATATTTAAAAAAATGTTGATAAAATTTAAATAAAATTTTCCGAAAATTTCCCATTTATTATCGATAATTAATCTAAAAGCGCCACCGCTCTTTAAAAATAGAAATTAATTATTATTAAGTTTTAAAGTTTTTAAAAATTTATATTAATGACTAAGTGATAAAAATTTTTAAACTTAAAAATATTTAAATAATTTATTTTAAATTATTAATCAATGCTTAATTTAAATAAATAAATATAATATATATATATATATATTCAAGTATGGCAAAATTCATTTATCAAAATTGTTTTATTTCTTTTTATAGGTGATAGTGGCTATCCAATGGAACCATGGCTTCTGACACCTATATTAGATGCTCAGCAACAAAATGAGCAAAACTATAATAGCAG